GGTCATAAGCCGTGGTTCCAACCGCGAAGTTAAAAATTCGACAACACAGCGAACAGCGTTAAGCTTCTTATCTTCCGTTTTCAATCCCGTAGGTCTCGTAGCGCCCTATACAGTAAAAGCGCGATTAATGTTTAAAAAAAATCTGGCGCTTTCATAGCCAACAATCGGATGATGAGCTACCCATTGATAGATTGTTAAGCAAGAAAAGCAAGAGTCGCGACCATGAAAGCGCTTCCCATCCCGAAGCTTGAAATGCAGTTCGCTTTACTCGCTACCCGCTTGAAGGAAGATATCCTCAAAGCTCTAACCATTCATGTGTCAAACACATTCATGTGGAAAGACAACACCACTCTTTCCCAGTGGTTAAACTCAGAATGTAAGCGACCCACCTTCGTGGAAAACCCGATTGGAGACATTCTGGAAAGTACGACCGTAGACCAGTGGTTTCACATCTTGAGTGGGGACAACCCTGCTGATACGTGAGCCAGAGGAATCTCAGCGGAGTCCTCAAAAACAAGCAGCTGAGTGAATGGGCTAGCTTTACGGAAAAATGGCGAGTGGCCTTTCAAGCCGAGTACTACTTAAAAAGATCAGCCTGGCTGGTACCGCTTGTAACCTAAAAGAAGGTTTACAGCAGGCCTCTAATTTTCAAACGTTGTACAAAAACAAAAACAATCCATTTTATTTGCATGGGAAGAATTCTGCTTGTTTCGTAGACTCCAGCGAGTGGTTGCCTTCATGCTCAGACTGAGTCAGAAACACCGGCACTACCGCTCTAAAGTCAAGGAGGTAACCGATCCGGTTCAATTAGAAACCACCAAACAACGGCTTTCCACAAGAAAAATTTTCCAAGTAGAATAAAAAAAATAAGTTACTGTGGTTCAATCATTCTGTACTTCTCGAATGGTAACCAGCTCTATTTGTTCCTCCTAACAATTACTAATTTTCAGTAAATTGACTTAGCTAAAGAAGCAATATATGAAAAAATAAAATACATGTTTTTACATTCATTCCAAAATAAAACTAAATTGATCAACCTAAATAGAGCAAAATGCAGTACTATACATAAATATTTTCAAAAAGAGTCACCATCTTGTTGAGCAACGGTTTTTTTGCATTACTAATACATTTCTTTTTTTCCAAAAATTCAGTTGATGCGCTGTGTGGCAAATTTTTTCAAGAAAAAGCTAACCTCTTTCAAAAAATTTAATTGAAAACAAGTTTCCTACAGAATCAGAAGATCAATATTATAATTGGTATCAGCTTGCATCCAGTTAGCTTATCGTTCCAAATTTAGAAAAAATTGAGGAATGTATTTGTATTTATATATACCCGTTTTGGTTTTTTGTATTCAGACCGATTTTAGAACAATTGACTGCATATGGGAAAACTTGCGTTATCCGGAAAACTTGCGTTTGTCAAACGAGTATCATTGGACAAGACTAAAGTGCTGCATTGGTGCTGGAATAACACGTTGATAGTTCGTTGCAATACGGGAATTATTATGCGTGGTAAATTATAAGCACTCATAATTGTTCCAAAAAGAAACGAGGCAAAGCTAATTGGTCTCATTAATTCAATAAACGAAATTCCGAGGACAAACTGTGCAATGGATAGGCGCACAATATTGCGTCTGTTTGTTCCTGGATTCAGGACACAATTCTTTAAACATGTTAAAATTTTGTCGGAACAATTATAGAAAAAGGAATAGTAAAAAAAAACAAAGAGAAATTCTTTGTTAAATTTAACAAAATGCATAGTTTGGCTCCATAACGGACTCAAATTTTAAAATTTTGATAAGTCTTAATATGTTAGTTTGTCAAAATTTCGTATACCAAAGACCGAGGTTGTTCCTTGGCAACCTTTTCCTTGGCGAACCATTTTCACTAGTTAAGAGGTGTTCTAAAAGATTATTGTTTCACTCAAACCAAACAAATAAATATTTTGATTTTTTAAGTTTTGAAACAACTAAAAAAATTAAATACAATAAAAAGTTTGACTGTTCAGATAAACAAAACTTTGAGACCTCTAGAAGATTATGACGAGAGGCGTCTGTTTGACTGTTCCAGGATGTTTTTCCTGATGAAACAAAATCCTCGACCCAACCTTGTTGGTCTGCATGAATTTATTCTTGACCTGAGACCCTTCTATGATTGGGCAGGGCAAGCTCAGTTTCGTTAGAAACAGAATTGGAACTATAAGCCAATCAGCTATGACGCTATGAATCTCAGCATCTAGTCATTCCAGGATATCGGCTAACTTGATCAAATGTCTAAATCTTTCTGGTACAGATTTGGATCTCACAGTAATCTGTATTGACGCAATGGCTGTTGTTAAAAAGAAACAAGTTCAGATGAAAGTAACTTCTTATTTCAATGGTTTCGAATACATATTAGAATTAACCGCAATTGTCAAGGATGAACTTTAAGTCGGTAGTCCCTGCTTTACATCCATACCTCGCTCCAATCAAACCAATTGTATATAGCTACGCCGGTGTACACTTAATAATTGATCAAGACTCTTTCCATGCTATTCTGCTCGAGGAGTATTTTGAGAGTGACACCGATCCAAACACCTTGCCCGTCGCCGTTTGCTTTCCAATAGGCTGTGTCTTGAGCGGTCCAATGCCGACATTTACCGGTTCCCTTTCCACTTGTTTCACAAGCAATACATACGATACCAAACTAGCTGGTCAAATCAAATGCTGGTATGAAAAAGCAAGACTCGTGACCATGAAAGCGCTTTCCAACCCAAAGCTTGAACAGCAGGTCGCGTTACTCGCTACCCACTTGAAGGAAGATATCCTCAAAGATCTAACCATTCATGTGTCAAACACGTTCATGCAGACTGACAGCACCACTGTTTCCCAGTGGTTAAACTCACACAGTAAGCAACCCACGTTCGTGGCAAACCTGATTGGGTAGATTCTGGAAAGTACGACCGTAGACCAGTGGTTTCATATCTTGAGTGCGACAACCCTGCTGATACGGGAGCCTGAGGAATCTCAGCGGAGTCCTCAAAAACAAGCAGCTGAGTGAATGGGCCAGGTTTGCTGAAAAATGGCGAGTGGCCTTTCAAGCCGAGTATAGAACTACTTAAAAAGATCAGCCTGGCTGGTATCGCTTGTGACCTTAATGAAGGTGTACAGCAGGTCTCTAATTTTTCAAACGTTGTACAAAAACAAAAACAACCCAATTAATTTGCATGGGAAGAATTCTGCTTGTTTCGTAGACTCTAGCGAGTGGTTGTCTTCATGCTCAGACTGAGTCAGAAACACCGGCACTACCGCAATATAGTCAAGGAAATAACCGATCCGGTTGATTTAGAAACCGCCAAACAACGACTTTCTACAAGAAAAATTTTCCAAGTAAAATAAAAAAAAAATAGTTTAACGTGGTTCAAACATTCTGTACTACTCGAATGGTAACCAGCACTATTTGTTTCTTCAAACATTTACTAATTTTCAGTAAATTGACTTAGCTGAACAAGCAATATATGAAAAAATAAAATACATGTTTTTACATTCATTCCAAAATAAAATTAAAATTGATCAACCTATCAATAATCTTTGCCAAATTACCAAGAACTCTTTTTTGCAAAATGCAGTACTATACATAAACATTTCCAAAAAGAGTGACCTGCTTGTTGAGCAACGGTTTTTTTGCATTATTAAGACCTTTCTTCTTTTCCAAAAATTCATTTGATGCGCAGTGTGGCAAATTTTTTCAAGAAAAAGCCAACCTCTTTCAAAAAACTTAATTGAAAACGAGTTTCCTACCAGATCAGAAGATCAAAATTATAATTGGTATCAGCTTGCTTCCAGTTAGTTTATTGCTCCAACTTTCGAAAAAATGAGGAATATATTTGTATATTTTTACCCGGGTAGGTTTTTTGTATTCTGACCGATTTTAGAACAATTGACTGCGTATCGGATTCTATCCGGAAATCTCGAGTTTGTCAAGCGAGTATCTTTGGACTAGACTAAAATGCTGCGTTGGTACTGGAATAATACATTGATAGTTCCTTGCAATACGGGAATTATTATGCTTGGCAAATTATCCGCACTCATAATTGTTCCAAAATGAAATGAGTCAAGCTAATTGGTCTTATTAATTGAATAAACGAAATTACGAGGCCAAACTGTGCACTGGATAGGCGCACCATATTGCGTCTGTTTGTTTCTGGATTCAGGACACAATTCTTTAAACATGTTAAAATTTTGTCGGAACAATTATAGAACAAACGAAATAATGAAAAAAAAACAAAGAGAAACTCTTTTTTATTATTCACAAAATGCAAAGTTTGGCCCCATAACAGACTCAAATTTTAAAATTTTGATAAGCCTTAAATTTTTATTTTGTCAAAATTTCGTATACCCATAACCGAGGTCGTTCCTTGGCAAACGTTCAAAACTCTCTTTTTCTTCCGACTTTGCTAACAAAAGGAACCAAAAAATAATTGCGCTCCGAGTGATTTTTTTTCTTCAGAATTCGAGTTTTTAATTAGCCATTTTTGACGGAATTTTTTGATATCTCGCGATATTTTTACCCCTATTAACGCGTAACGGATAACTAACGCGTCTTGGAAATCGTTCTAAAATGGTTGAAGGAAGCTTGTTTGTCAAAATTGATTTCTTACTAGGAGCTAAATCTATCATTTTATACATTCTATGCCGTGTGCGGGGATGATTTTCACAAAAAAAAATCGTAAATTTAAAGCTGAAAAAAATTTTGTTTTGTTTTATTACAATTAAATTTTCATGTCATTGCTGCTTCATAGATCTTAAAAGGCAGTCAGAATATTCAGCGCTTTGCCCTTACACGAACAGTCTTGTTATACGTTCATTAAGATAACCATGTCAAACTCAACAATCATTAAGATGCAAATTGATAGAGAGAAGCATTTTTTAGTATGCGAAAGTAGAACAGGGAAAAAAATTAATCTTTGAGTTTCATAACTCTTACAAAAATATTTTTGATGTAACTTTTTGTTTAGACGCAGAAAAAAAAGAGAGAATTGACTTAGGGGAACAAACATGGAAGTTTCATTCCACAAATTTAACTGAAAAAGGGAAGATAGTTGCATTCAACTACAGCGATTCCGAAAATCATGATGGAAACCAAAAGATTGAAATTTGTTTTCCTCCGTTCAGCGTACTTGGAACCGTAACAATCAATTTCGAGCTGCAGCTCAATTCTCCTGAGCAGTGTGTGACCCCCCTTTTGTACATGTCTCAACGAAACCACTTGCCCTTTCTCAGAAAAATAAGCGTCTCATTGCCATGGAAAACCTCAATGAGAAGTCAGTTTGAATGGAATCAAACCCATCTGAATTCAGTCAATTTCCGAAAAGATGTAGTTTATCATGAAACAGGAGTAGTTATTTCCTCATTTTCGTTTTCGCCCATTGCGATTCGCAAAGCGGTTAGTTTTCCTATAATAAATCTAAAAGTAAAGTAAATCACATAATTGAAACTTTTTTGCTCAATGTAAAAACACTCATTACCAATTTTATTCAGTGTAGTGCAGTGCAGCTTCAGAACCTAGATGCAATTCAGTAGTTTGCACTTGAATGTCAAAAAAAGTTTGAATTTTTGTCAAAACTCTTGCATCAAATTGTTTTTAAATGGAATTTTAATTGAACCATTTTCACTAGTTAGGATGTGTTCCGAAACATATTTGTTTCACTCAAACCAAACATCTGTATGTTTTGATTTATTCAGTTTGGAAACAACTGAAAAATTGACTTATTGAATACAATACAAAATTTGCCTGTTTAGATCAACAAAACTTTGAGACCCCTAGACGACTATGACGAGAGGCGTCTGTTTGACAGTTCCAGGATGTTTTTCCTGATGAAACAAAATCCTCGACCCAACCTTGTTGGTCTGCATGAATTTATTCTTGACCTGAGACCCTTCTGTGATTGGGCAGAGCAAGATCAGTTTCGTTGGAAAGAGAATTGGAATTATGAGCCAATCAGCTATGATGAATCTCAGCCAAACATTTCTATTCAATTGAAAGGTATGCAGTGAGTTTTACGCTCGATGTTTTTTATAAGCTGAAACAAAAATAAAATGAAACTGAAAAAAATCAAACTAGATCTCGACTTCCAAAATAATTCTTTAAACGATCGTATCAGTGAAAAGAATTTGGAGCTAAAACTGCTATTTAACGCCTTCTTTGGCTCACAAAATGTTTCAAAATTGCGTTGAGGTATGTTGGATTAAAAAAGCCGTAAGAAACAAAAAAAGACTCTTTTTTTAAAATGACGTGCGCAAGGGAGATAAAAAACATTATTATTCATTTCGGAACAAAATCTTTATTTTTTGTATACAATTTAATTGCAGTTAATTTTAAAAAATAAATATAATGTTGTTAGCAAAAAAAAAAACTTTTTACTCAAATCTGTAACTCTTCCCTCAGACACGTTAGAATAACTACCTAATGACGTTTTTGTTCCAACTTTAGAAACGAAAGTACCCAAATGTTTGTTCTCCTGTTGGTTTTTTTCTTCTGACAAATTTTAAGTAATTATTTTTGGCGGAATCTTTTTACATCATTGAAAACACATTGTTGTCTTGAGCTTAAATTTAAAAATATATCCCACCTGTGATTCTTTTCGTAAAGCTATGGGGGTTGGCCAATTTGGTACATTTTTTCAAGTTTTTTTCCATGTTATTACTGCTCCACAGACTTTTAAAGGCAGGCGGAACAACCAAGGCTTCGCGCTGATATGAGCAGTCTAATTCTGATTTAGTTACGCGTTCCAAAATCATTGAGAGGGATCAATTCAATTAAGGAAATTTTCCTGGACGAATCAGTTCGCCATTTTCACTATGCGTGTACCACAAACCGGCAAAAATGAAAACAAAACTTCGCAATTTCAAAAGTCATTACAATTTTTTAAAAAACTACTCAAAATAGCCATAGCAGTTTAACAGTTTCTTTGGTGCGCAATTATCTATCAGATTATTTGAAAACGTTTTCGTCAAAATTATCCGGAGCACAATATCTTGATCACTTTCTTTGAAAGTCACCACAGTAAAAAGACTTCAGTCAGGAAAAATTAATCAAACTTTTGACTGCCCTATGAAGTCTTTATGTTTTAACTTGAAAAATGACACATTCCGTACGCAAAATCATTAGAAAAGATATTGAATTAAAACATTCAGTAAAAGATCTAACCCGGGTTCCACACGCAGTGTCAAGTAAAAGGGTACATGCTTCAAATCAATCTTGAACGTTTTTTGAGCCGGCTACAAATACAGCTCACGCTAGCCGTTAACAGAAGACGATATATTTTTTCCCATGAAGCAATCAGAAAAGAACAAAACGTATCAAGAAAAACATTTCCATAATTGCTATCTAAGTTAAACACTTATGTATTTAACATCTACTTATCATTAAAAGCAAGAAACTTGTATCAAATTAGGTTCAAATTAATTTCTGATTCAGTTTAAATAGCCCCTCAACTGTTTTTAGCCATCAAATTTATCGCGTGTTAAAATTAAAAAAATGCAGCACCGCACCAATAAATTTTTTAAGCTTTGAGCTGGAGCAGGTCTATCTTTTGGATTAACTTAAAATTACCGGCAAAACAGCAAATTTCAAAAGTTTTCTGACAGGAAGAGCAGGCCAGCACAAATATTATAGCATCGAAAACGTAACGAAAATAATGGCAAGTATTAAAAAAAACGATTGATTGTGAAAAACTGAATTTGACATTAGAGGGCAGAAAACTTGTCTAAAAATGTTTGGCTAGTTTTATTGAATTAAATTTACACTGTAAACACCGGCTGTTTTATTTTTTCTATTCCCTCAAACCATTTTTTCAGATCAGGTGATTCTAATAACAAGTTATAGTAGCTTTGAGATGAATTAAAAACAGTTTTTTTATTGCCAAGCAGACGAATGAGACTCTGTCATTATTGCCAAGCAGACAATTAAGAATGAGACTCTGTCATAATCTAGAAATTGCTTTTTATTAACAGATAACGTAAAATGTTGTTTTCCGTATCTTACTGAATTTAGGATGCGCTTCAAATACACATCTGAGACAAAAATCTGAAAATAAAAAAATATAGATAGGTTAAAATGATCAAATAGAAGTGAGGCAAAAACATTTTCTTTGTTTTGAAACTGTACTACGCTCACATGGAGTGCCAAGTAAAAAAAATGATATGTTTTTTATTTAGAAACTTCAAGTAAAAATGATATTTTTTTTAATCAGTTTTACGCCGTAAAGAATTGTTTTGCAAACCAATTATGATTACCAAATAAATAGCGTAATTAATCACAAATGAAGATTAATTTTAATGTTTTTTACCACCTGAAAAACATTGATGACATGAGCTCAAAATAGGGGACAAAATTTATTCTGCAACTATTTTGTAAAGTTCTCGGTTTGAACATTACCGCTAATACTAATTTAGCATAGCTAATTCGCGCAAAAACAAATTCCAATTGTCTTCTTATGCGTTGCTTCGGTGTCAAGTTAACCCAGCCCAGGTATTAATCCAACAATAAATGAGATTCATTTTTTGTTCTCTGTCGTCCAAGTACGTACCATCCACTATTATTTTTTAATCGAATTTGATAGCGATTAGTAGCTGTTTCTGGGCCATAGACGATAATCATAACTGGTAGTTGGATGTTTTCAGAAGTTCACTTGCCGAACGCTTCAATTGAGCTATTGGACCCGTCTATATTGCCGAAAGAATTTGAGTTCTCACAACCAAGAGTTGAATCCGAAAACTCTGAATCAGGAAACATCACAAAGATGTTTTATCGCTTCCTAAACCCAGAGCAGGAACGAAAATCCGACAAAAAAGATTGCTTCGAGTTTTCCTTTTTTGGGAATACATTTCACTTTGAAATTCTTAAAGAAGAGAAACTAAAAAACCTATCCGTCACGCCAGCAATATCTGCAAGAGCTGTGCAAGAGGTTTTGCGGAAATTGAACAACAATTGGATGGAGTTCCTGCGCAACGAGTTATCTATCAGTCGAACATATTCCAGCGAGCTCTACTGTCTGGATATTCAAGATGCCGCCGTTTCCTATCTGCGAGAAAAACCTCTCGACACAATAATATTTCACAAAGAAATGTTGAGAAATAGCTACCCAGAATTGAATCAGACCTTCACTGAGATAGATCCCGAGTTCCAACAAGAAAGAAACGACAAACTTCGTCAAATTACGTCGTATCTCAAAATCGTGTTTAATTACGAAGCTACGAGATATGAAGATTTGGAGCCCGGTTATACTGAAATAAAACAAGTCGTTCTTGGTAGAATGGGAATATGGTCGCACCAAATTGGTCTTGAGATCAAAAATGCAGAAGCATTGGCTATCCACATGGTCAATATTGGAGAAGAAAAATTGAAGACATGTATTAACAATGCATTCATGCATTATGATTTGCTTGGCCAGATTTACAGTTTTTCTCTGGAATTGCAAAATTTCATGAATCTTGATGGAGGTGACGATGCAAATTAGTAAACTCTCAGCTGAAATTAAAAAAATCTGTCGACATCGAATTAGTTTTTAAAATTATATATATACAAATTTTCCGTCATCTATTCAATCTAGAACCAAAAAAAAATTAATAAAATTAATCAAATCATTCAATCTGTAGTAGTTTCTTTCACGTATAAGCATTATTGTCCCGACTTTCGAAGAAATGCAGAATATAGATTTTAGTTTACTTTTTAGAATACTATTTTTAGCCATAATTGGATGTGTGATTCAGAACAATTCTACGCTGATTTACTTTCATATGAAACGTGTGTATAAATTGTGCAACATAAAATTTTCATCAATTGGCTTTGGCTGTTATTAGTTTCACTCAAAGCCACTCTATCGCCTTTTAACAAAAAATATCGCATTGTACAATGCCTTCCTTCATCGGTATCAGTAAGGTATCAGTTTTAGCCTTATTAAATTTCTCTATAAAATTCATTGTGCTCCAAAGTGTTAGATTGCCAGAAAAAAAAACCATTAAGAAATTGATATCTTACTAAATTGCCTGTACGATAACTTGACTCTAAGCTGTATATTAAGTTGCGAATTTTTAAAAAACGGCTGCTAAAAGTCCCACTCAAAACCTCTGCATCGCGTTGTATTTGTAAAAAAATTGTCGCATTGTACATTGCCTTTAAATTGTGTATTCATCTAAAGGGTTTATATGATTATTTAAGGAAAATTTTCAACTGATGCAATCTCATTAATAAATTTTTAACATTCATAAATTTTTCGTGTTTCTATAAAAAAACTCAGAATAAACAAGACTGCTCGTATCAGGGCGAAGCCTTGAATGTTCAGACTGCCTTTTAAGTTTTATGGAGCAGTAATAACATTAAAAAATTTAATGTAATAAAACAAAATGAAAATATTTTTTCTAAAATTTGAAATTTTTTAGGAAAAATCATCCCCCCACACGTCATATAAAGTACAAAAAAAGATAGATTTTGCTCCATGTAACAAAACATTTATGGCAAAAAAGCTTCTTTCAACCAATTTGGAACGATTCCTAAGACGGATTAAACCTCCGCTTACACGTTGTTTGCGCGAAATTTATCGCGCGTTAATTGTCTCAAATTGACCAAAATGGCAATCATTACGAAAAAATAATCACAGGCGAAATATTTTTTCATGTTTAAGCTCAAGACAACAATACGTTTCGAATGATATGAAAAAAAAAATCCGTCAAAAATGGCTCGTTAAAAAGTCAAAATTTGTCTGAAGAAAAAAAAACCCACGCCGAGCACAAATATTCCGTTACTTTCGTATCGAAAGTTGGAACAAAACTTTTTCTTCAAACTCCACATAGTCGAATTGTATATTAAGCTTTTTTACACCGCTTCACAAAAGATCCTGGAGCCGACACCCGAAATTCATGATATCTATTTGTAGAGTCACTTCTATGCTTATATTTTTTATCAAAACTTTTTTTCAGGTTATATTTTAGTTTTGGAAGGTACATTTCAGAGATACAGGCCATGATTTTTGACCTAGAAGCTTCCGCAACAAAAATTTCGGCCTTTTAAGTCAATTTCCGGTTTTTACTCTTAATATTTGTGAACAATAGTACCTCAAGTTTGTTTGTATCTCCAAATTCAGTTTAACAGTGAGACTCTTACAATTTATGCATTTTGAAAAAAAAAGAGCTCATCTAGCCAAACAAAGAACGAATACGTCTTTTTTGAATTAAATACGAATCGCAGTCATTATTAACAATTGTTCTTTTTAAGCTAAGAGTTAACTACAATTTTTTTGGTGAAACAAGTATTTTGCTGCCCTTTGGCCTGTACTCATAGAGTAATTCCAGATAAAGTACATCGTCTGTTCGTCACGCTATCTTATTTTGGGCGGATGGATTCATGTAACTTCTTAGTCTAATACCAATCTTAATCATACTCTTATATCTTCTAGTCTCAAACGATCTAGTGCATACTGGTTTTCGCGAGTTAGTTCTTGGAGTTTATCCAGAAATAGAACAACTGTATTCAAAGATTTTTTCAAATTGTTTTGGTGCAGAAACTACAAGTAGTTTCAGCATTCACAAATAAGTGTCAATATTAGAGATGGAATTTGATTGGTTAGTTAGTAATATTTTATAGTGATAGTTTTTATTAGAAAAATATTTGGTTTATAAATACTAGTTCAGTCTTGGCTGATTGTGTCAAGACTTCTGATCGATGCAATAATGAATCAATTTCATCAAATTTAGAGCGAGACTACATACAGGGTGAAGTTTGACTTTTCCTAGTGAAGTGCCAAGTGACTAGGATCGGTATGTGAAATCAACATCGAGATGGTCATTGGTCTGCATCAATGGGTTTCCTTTGCTGCGATGTTGAGTCAATACTTAAAAACCTTTGAGGGTAGTGACTTTGGCAGCAAACCAAATAGATTTGCTATTCCAGAGTTGGAATGTAGTCGGGTTGCCATCTCCTTTGCTGTTCGTTTCTTGGGCTCTAAAAACTCTTTACATACTGCAATTATATAATTACTTCTTTTTAGTTAAGTTTTAGTTATGACCTAATATTATTTTTTATCGCAAAAGCGTTTTTGTTTTAGTTTGGTTATTTTTAAAAATTCGCTCACACTAGAGCAACTCTCAGCAAATATTGAGTGTGGGTCGCAAGTAATGGTTGTAGCGCTGTGGGTTAGGCCGGCTATAGAGCATGCATAGGACGTCCCTCTGGTTGGTGAGACCATGAATGGTCTATATTTTATGGTCTTTTTGTGCAGAGTCTCTTTATACGTTCAATCTTTTGTTACATTTTCATAGCGTGTTTTTCTCTTTTTTCTTTTGCTTGTGTCCTTTTCGCAAAAATAGATTTTTTTGTATTTTATTTGGTTTTAATAAAACTTTGAAGTGCTTTCCAACGATTAATTTATCCAGTTTTAACCTGGTTTGACTCCGGTTTGGTTACCGTGTGACTTTCTTTCTTAGTCATGCTATTAGTTTGTGGTTTTGCGGCGTTAGTAAGCTGCGTTGGATAATTCAATTTTTCATATAACTTCTTCCAACCGGGTTAAAGGGAAGTTTGAAAGGTGTGAAAACAAGTTAAAGTTGTTATCAGTTAAGGTTAAAACTTGAAATTTTTTATTTAAACAATTCTTCGTGGGCGAGCTGTGCGATTGTGGAAAAAACTGAGCAATTTTTGGGCGAGTGAAGGATTCAAAATTTATAAAAGAAGCGTATTTTGTGAAAATGTTACTTGTCTTTAATTCATTTACATTTTTTTATGAATCTACTTCATAGAAGTTTTAATTTACTGCAATGGAGTTTTCAATTTATGAGTTTTCTGCTTTGAAAAGAAAAACTTCACTACTTCAATTATATTCTTGTTAAAACCACTTCAATTATATACACAATTGTTAAAAAGGATTTGAAAATTTTATAGAAAAGAGTTCACATTTTTTTAATTTATTTCTATTTGTTTTAGATGATTGAGTAGTGAAATTTAAAAAAAAGTGAGATATAAATAAAGAATGGTTAGTAATATTTGAAATTTATTAGTTTTTTTCTAATTTATACTAACAAAAGGTTGTCGTTGGCCAAAATTGATTCGGAAAATTAGTGCCAATAGTGTCGGATGATGTGAGGAGTTTGGCAGGCATGAGGATGACAATTTTGGTTTGAAGGAAAGGCTATAGAAGCTCGAGTGCTCGGATAAGTTTATACTCGTCACTATTGAGTGAGGATTCTTGCGGTGTGTTTTGAATTAGGTTATATAGCTTATGGTTGTATTTAGTACTATGATTGAATTCTAAAATTCGGACTTTGATGGGCTGTTGATATTCGTGGGGGACAATTAGTGGGCGGGATTCTTCAACATCAAAACAATTGGTTAGTGGGCAGAACACAACATTTGTCTTATGGGGTCACAGTTTCGGAAGATGCCTTGCATGTTAGTTTTTTTTATACAGTAGGTGAAGTTTAGGAAGAAAGGCCAATTATATTTGGAGTTAATAAATCTGAATCTGTGTTGTGGATTTCGTGATTGTTGTTTGGTGATGAACAAAGTGTAATAAGTGTATGTGTGGGTTTGTTTAGTGCGTAACATTATTTCATGTGAGCTGTGCAAGTCACATTTTTTTTGCATTTGTTATGTTCACCAACCACGATGTAAAGTGTTAAGCACACAAAAACTCCGAAAAACTATATTTTATATAAACCTCAAAATCAGAATCATTTCAGTTTCATGGGCGACATTGAAAGCGCAACAGCAAACTTTCGCAATTAAGCTTTCTCTATCAGAAGGTCAGAAAAGTTTATATTAACTGAAACTATTCAAAATAGTCCTTCATCATTTTACTGAGTCAACAACCATGAAATTCCAAATACTAGAAATTTTAATGAAACTATAACCTGAAGGTATAAAGAGAAACAGACGGATATCAACAGAGACAGGCAGAATCATCCAACCAGGTTAAAAAACTAACAAGTAGACAGAATCAACAGTATTTGATAGAATATATAAATTATTAACAGGATTGGAGGCAACAACCACTCATATAATTACACTAGGCTGGGTTTACATTCCCATGGCTCTTCAAATCAAAAACATTCTTCGTAGGTATTTTTATCATCAACAGTTTTGAGTACACAGGCTGCATTGCGAGATTTTTTTTGTTTGCTGGTTTCTTTGTCACTAGCAAGCAGAAATTACCTAACTTGGTTTCTTTTTTACCTGCCCTTGGTTTTTCGTTATCTGCCCTGGTTTCTTCTCTCTTTTTTAAACTATTTGAATTCCTCGGCAGTCTACTAAAATGCCATAGGACAACCGTCAAACTGTTTTGTCGCTTCTAATGTGACATGTGGAGATGTCATGGCTTCAAAGCAGCATGCCTGACAATAGAGACAAAGTCTTGTTCAAAAAGCATTCAAAGTTGGAAGTTTTTGGAAACTTTTGCAAATTTCAGATAAGATAGGAAATTCCAACCATCTTTGGTGAATATTTTTTCCAATTTACGTAGGATTCAAATCAATTATTGCAATCTGAACTTATCCTGGTGGCACTGAACACTTTTTGATCAGTAGTTTTTACTTTCCAAAACATTTAAAAAATTTTTGTTATCAAAATAGGCTACTGCAAATTTTTTGGACTTCGTTTTTTGGAGTTACTTCACCATTTGATGAATCCAACCCATGTTTCACTGAATCATTATTTGCTCGAGGCTCAAATTCCAAAAAAAATTGCTTGAAATTGTTTTTGCCACTACTGCTGAGGCTAAAACTACGGTTGAAATAAACAAGCTACAGAACACCACAGTTACCTTTAGTTGTTGGAATAACTGCTGGAAAGTTCGGTATTTTTCATTTTGATAATAATTGTCGTCCATAATTGTTTTCTTGAAAACCAAATAAACCGTTTGAAAAAGTTCAATTTGCAAAAACGAAGGAGTATTACGCAAAAAGAAGAGGTTTCTGCATGCTAAAGCAAATTTTTAGTAGGTAAAAACCATAGGAAAATCAACGAAATTGTGGCAAAATTTAAAAACGTTTTGCTTCGAAGGTGATAATTGGTAAGTTTCCACGGTTCAATTAATTACTTTGTTTTCAGAAAAGAATAATTATTGTGACAAACATTTTTTGCGCAGCCATAAACATGCACGCAGCAATTATATTCCCTCATCAAAATTAGACCAAACAAAATCTGAAAAACGTCCATCTCGAAAATCATCGCCGGATAGCTGA